CTCTCCAGTCCTCCGTTAAATGTTTCACGCAATAGTAGACGAAATGCGTGTTTCTGACGTGAGCTGACCACAGTGAGTAACGGGAAGGGGGATGGGTGGGGAGATCCGACTGCCCAGACCCCTCAACCGCACTGCCCAGGCTGACAGAGGCTCGTGGCCGGCGGCAAGGGCCACCTCTGGAGTTGAGCAGAAGTAATTGGAATGTTGGCTTCTCTGCCGAGCCGCTGTGTGGCCTTGGGCGGGTCCTTAACCCTCTCTGAGCCCTTGTTGCTTGTCTGCAAAATGATGGAGAAGAACCTGGTACTCAGCTTGCTGTGAGGCATTAAGGGGAACACGTGAGCCAAGTTGGCACCTGCTTATTCCAAACGGATGCACCCAGAGCTGGCGCTCGGGGGGCTGGGTGCTCCCCAGGACTGGCCTCATGTCCACCAAGGAGAAAACCTGCCCCTACCCCACCGAACCTCAGGTGCTGTGTGTCCCCAGAACCTGGACAGCGTTGCCAGGTACTGTTTCTCTTCAACGCGCTGCAAGCTGACATAGGACATGTAAATGGTTGGTCGTTCCCTTTCTGCATGATGTCTTAACATACCTTCTGGGCCAGACCGAGCTCGTCCCAGGGCAGGGTCACAGGGCAGCACGAGCGGGCCCTCGGGGACTGCTGCGCAGTTTCCCATCTAAGGAATTTTCTGCAGGCAAAGGAGTGTGGGCTTCATTTCTAAGGGAGGAAAATAACTCTTTTTCCCCTTCGGGGAACATATATTCCTCTGTCTAAAAATCCGCACCCCTGGGGTTCTATTTAAGATTTAAGAGCAATGACCCACCAAAGTGATAGAGGGGCTTCCCGGGGCTCCTTACATCCCATTTCCAACCCAGTGGCTGGTTCCCCAGGAGGGTCAGTCTGTTGGAGTGTAAACTGTGCATACACTTAGGAGTTGGGCACTTTTCTCTGTGTAGCTAAACTAAAAAAAAAAAAATCTACATCAAAAAAGTAATTACTCTAAAGGGAAGATAATGTGCTTTTTTTTTTTAATCCTCACCCGAGGACATTTTTCCATTTTTTGCACAAATAGAGTGGGAGGGAGAGAGCAGAAGAGAGAGAGAGAGGGAAACATCGATGTGAAAGGGACACATCGAGTGGCTGCCACCCGCACAACCAACCAGGGCCGGGGACAAACTGCAACCGAGGTACATGCCCTTAGCGGGAACCGAACCCGGGTCTCTCCAGACCGCAGGTGGATGCTCTAACCGCTGAGCCAAACCGGCCAGGGCGATAATGTGGTTTTTGATTGTGATCATGTAAGGATTTACTGGTGACATTTATGCCATCCACCAAGGAACACCAGCGGCCCCTCAAAATGCATTGCCCAGCAACGCTGCCCTGTGGGTTGACTCAGGGGCCCTCTGGAGGGCGGAGCCTGCGGGGCTCCCGGGAATCTTTTTCTGCACCAGCACACGCTGAGCTGAAGCCCAGAGGGGTCCTGTTGGGGACAGTGGCTTGGAAAGAACCTCTGACTGAATGCTGGTGCCCACGACGGTGGCTGTGACTTTGAATTTACTTGTGTGGCATTCACCTCGTGTTCATTAAGTCCATACCCATGTGTGAAGTGACCACTGCGTGCCAAGCACCGTCTACACACAGGACATGGTAACTGAGGAGACAGTTCTGGTCACATCATCGTGGCGCTGACGTTCTGGGGTCCCCGCGGGGCAGTAATACCCGGGGCTGGGAGGGAAAACGAGGTGTGCACGGGGGCTGTTACCAGATGCCTTAGCTTGTGTCAGACCCTCCACCTGGGCTGGCCAGCCTTTAGAAGTCTGCCGGCCGTCTCCTTTGTTCTCACCATTGAGCGTCAGGAACTTCGGGTCCTGGAGACCCGGGCCGTGCAGACAGGCTCTGTCTGAATCTCCCACGTTCTGAAAGTGACTCCTGCAGCCAGAGCTGAGGAAGTCCTCCAGTCGTCACTGAACTGTTCGTAAACGCCGTCATCCACACGGGTCCAAGCATCCATTCCTGTGCCTTCGTTCACCAGAGTCACGGGTGTGCGCCCTGGGCCGGCGTGGGCGGGGCGGGGGCTCTGAGCATTGCCTTCCCCGCTGCCCTGGCTTGAAGAGCCTTTCGGCCAGAACCAGGCATGCGGGGTCTGGTAGAGCATCAAGGTCTGTGAGACAAACGAGAACTTGTTTCCACCTGCCTCTCCCACGGGGCCTTTGTCCTGCCCATCAGCCCATCTGCCCGTCGCTCCTGATGCCAGTGTGGGGCCTGTTCCTTCTGAGAGGGCACTAGCAGGACGCTCACTGGGACCCTGTGTGTGAGCAGGGTCCTCTCCCTGCTGTGGAGGGGCCCAGACGCTGTCACCCCTCTGCCTCCATTTCTCTCTCTCCATCTCTCCATCTCTTTTCTCTGGCCTGGGTTTTGATCTGGGTTCCGGTCTGGCTTCTGGCTGTTTTAAGGATGGAATGTGTGCACCCTGCAGGGCTAGTGAATTTCCCTGGTGCTGCCTGTCAGGTGCTTTTTCCGTTACGCCAAGAAGAAGCCTAGCAGGGCTCACGGCGGGGAGCAGGGCAGCGGGGTGTTGGGAGGCGCCCGTCTGCGTTACCGTCACTATACGCGGCATGTGCAAGGCTCCGAGGTGAGGGACAGCTGTGTTGCATAAGCATCGGGCCATGCACGTGCTGGACACTCGAACGGGAGTTCCAGTCCCTCAGCCCGGTGCCCATTCTGAGTATGCGCTGTCTCCTCCTCAGTGGCCGGTGGGATCGACACCTCCGTGACTTCTGTTTCTAGTGTTGATTTGAGTCTTAAATCCCAAATGCATGTTTATCATTTTTAAAGAAAAACAGGCTTCTAAGTTTAGAGAAGGGAGCCCCAAGTTGGTGTCATACCTTCTCCACTACTGAACCCTTCCCGCCAGCCCTGCAGCAGGCCACGCACATGCCCCCCTGTCCTTCCACATCACCCGGGAACCGGTGCCCCTCTCTGAGGCATGAGTGGCCAGCCCTGTGAGGCTGCGTCACTCACTCGACTCAACAGTGTGACTGTTTAGTGCCAGGGCTCATGGTCAGACCCGTGGCTCTCCTGGCGGCTGTAAGGGAGGGAGCCACAGCCTGTCCCCCTCTCTGCCCACCTTTTCCCTTGAAAGGGCCGGATGGCCCCCAGCTACCACGCCTTTGTCTGTTCCTGGCTTTCTGGCCATGGGCATCATATCCTGCGACCTTCCCACAGCCCTATTAGTAGCGGTGCCCCAGTGTGGACCCCAGCCCCGGGCCAGCACCAGATGACGTCAGGGCGAGAGCAGCGCCCCTGGGCTCTACCCGGAGGGAGAGCCTCTCAGGACCCCAGAAGCAAGGCTGCTGCCAGGTGCCATGACCCACGAGCAGACTGCCCTTGGCCTCCAAGTGGCCAGTGGCCATCTCAGCAATGCAGCCGCATGCTCAGGCGGCTCCTGGTTTACAGAGGACCAGGGATTAGCCTGGAAAAGAAACAGCTAATAGGAGGGTTTGCTCTGCAGTAACCTCGATCTGGACCTGAACCCACAAGAGGCTGGTAACGAGCAGACGTTTGTCACGTCTGGTATCTAATGCTCCCTCCGTGATGTCAGACAGGTTCCCTGTGGCCCAGGTCCCAGAGCCCCTGGCCCCGCAGAGCTCCATCCTGATTCGGAGCCTGCTGCCCTGGGAGCTTGACCTTGCAGAGGACGGGTCTCTGCTCTACCCCAGCCGTCTGTCTGTCTGTCTGTTGAGGGGCAGATGCAGTCCTTTGGGGTCCCCGTCCAGGAGTCTCCTTTAGCTCTTGCCTTCCGGTGTTTGCTGATCTCTGGACACCCCAGTGGCAGGCATCCGGCTCATTTGCAGCTCTGAGCTACCCTTCTGGATGCCTTCCGTTTGCTCCTCTGCCCCCGACCTGCCGGGACAACTCCCTCAGCCCTCCTCAGGCGCCTGTCGCTCTCCCGTAATGAGCACATCGCAGGGCCACAAGCTTCCTGCCTTTGTTTCCGCTTCTCTGCCTGATTAAACAAGGCCTTGGGGACTCCCCGTCCAAATCATGGTGGCACCTGGTGACAGTTTGGGTGCTCAGGTGTCTTATCTGTGAAAGACAGGAACTCTTCAGATCCTAGCGAAGACTCACATAAAGATACGGGTTTGGTTTCCAGGGAGCATCCAGCCTCAGACTGGGCAGAGAGTGGGAGCTGGTGGGGCGCCCCCTAAACACCATGCGGGGGCTACAATATTGCCTGTGCACGGTCCTGATCATTAAGGGTGCATTCTGTGAATGTTTCTCAAGAACCGAGAAATGTCTCTGAATTAGGAGTCTTTGTCCACAAATCCAGTTTCTTCTGTTTTATTCTTTATCGCTCATTTGAACATTCTACTAAAAAAAAAAAAAAAAAAAAAATCCATGAGACTGTTGGGGATGTGTAGATTTTTTTGTGCTTTTACAAAATTCTCGAGTGGAAACTTGGCAGAAATTCCAAAGCAATTTGATGTGGCTGCAAAGTAACAAACTTTACATTGTCAATTAATTAAGATATTAATTAGTTGATTATAGAGTAATGGTTCATGAATAAATCCTATATGAATAATTTATATTTGTGTAAATTATAAATAGAAATGTATAAATGAGATAATCCATTAATTGTCTGATTACTCACCGTGGGGGCAGAAGCAAGGTGGCCAGTGGTGTGGCCCTGCATCAGGATCTGCTCACGCGGGCTCTGGGGGGCCCGGACGAATCCCCGGTGCCCCCTGGACTCCTGCTTTCTCACCCGTACCCTCGATAGTATGTGTGAGAGTGCTGTGGAGAGCCTAAAGCAGTCTACTCTTCCTAGTAACTGTCATCAACACAGCCCAGGGCAGGCAATTGGGGAAGCAGACAGAGGTGTGGAAAGTCTTGCCTCTGGCCAGGAATCCACGGGCAGGTGTAGTGTTCACCTGTGCGGCACCGGGACAAGCCAGCAGGCCCTGTGGTAGTGAGCGGATGTGATCTGCTTCTGTGTTTGCAGGATACAAGACCCTTCTGAAAGGAATTTCTGGGAAATTCAACAGTGGGGAGCTGGTGGCCATCATGGGCCCTTCCGGGGCGGGGAAGTCCACGCTCATGAACATTCTGGCCGGATACAGGTGAGCACATCCTGCCGAGGAGAACGGGGCCCTCACCATGTGGGCACCGTGGCAACAGGAATAATGAAGCCACTTCTGCTCGTCTTGTCGCTTCCTAAGGTTCTGTGCAGGCTCCAGCGAAGCCTGGGGTGGGTGGGGGCTGCTAGAGGCTTCGAAACCTGTGAAGGAAACAGCCCAGGAGGAAAATGACGTTGAAAGCATCAAAAGGCAGCACCTGGCCATTGCAGCGTGACAGTGGAGACGGTGCGCCGTGCTCGGGGGCGGGAGATCACGGGTCAGAATGGCCGAGGTTCCCACCGCCTCCCCAGGCTGAGCTGACGCACTCAGAAGAGCCTTGGGCGGTAGAGACGCGTGTGGATCTGGGAGGGAGTGCGTGAGTGTGGCTGTCCGGGCTGTGCCCCTTGTTTCCCAAGCACACACGGGATGCCCCAACCTGTCCCCTGCGGTCACAGAGAACAACCTTCGGTGGAGAAGGACCATGCACTTGGCTGAGTGGGTTCAGGGCGCAGACCCCTCCTCTGAGCCACGTGAGCCCAGGACCCTGGTGTGCTCCCTCCCGGTCAGCGTCAGAGCCAGGCCCTTGGGAACTGCTTCTGATCTGGGGGCCACACCCCTGACAGCAGAGTCTTGGCTTTGGGGTAGCCAGCGTGGCCTAGACTACACACAGGATTACTCGAAGCCCATCTTAGACACCCCCCGCCCAAAGTCAGGGGTGTACATCTGACCTGTGGCTGCGTGGAGGAGCATCCACGCATGTCTCGGCTTGTTTGTGGGCACTTGTTACAAACATGCCATCCCAGAGAGGCCCCTCCGCCTTCTCCTTTCTGTGCCGGGCATTTTTTCCTTGTAGTTTCCTCCTGTGAGTGCTGGGTCTCCATCCCCCCCACCCCCACCCCCGTCTCTATGGTAACGGTCCAGCTGGGAAGGTGCCGGGAGGGCCGCCTCTCTCCCAGGTCTTCCCGGGACCCCAGAGAGGGAGCAGGAGCAGGAGCAGGGGCTGGGCTGACCGGTCCTCTCCTGGCCTTGCAGGGAGACTGGCATGAAGGGGGCCGTCCTCATCAACGGCATGCCCCGGGACCTGCGCTGCTTCCGGAAGGTGTCCTGTTACATCATGCAGGACGACATGCTGCTGCCGCACCTCACCGTGCAGGAGGCCATGATGGTGAGCTCCCTCCCCCATCCTCCCCTCCCTCAGCGGGGTTCTGACGCTAGCCGTGCTGTGTGGACAGCTTCACTGAAAACAACCCCCAGACCCTGGGTTCTCACAGACCCCGGACGGCAAAATCAAGGCCAAATTCCTGAGAACGTTATTAACCTGACTGGTGGTGGCCCCTTCCAAGGTGACCCCGTCCTACCCCTCGGGCCAAGGTTCTGCCCTTCCCATCAGCTGCCCTTCAGTCCCCTGTGCACCGGCACCAAGTTCCAGTCAGCCTGGTGCCGGGCCAGGACCCTGAAGGCTCATGCTCCTCCGACTGGCCGGCCTGCGGGCGGGGCAGTGAAACCAGCATTTGCTGCCCTGCGGCGGGTCCCAGGCCCTGCACTCACAGAGCCCGACGGTCCTCAGGCCTGCAGCCCTGCAAAAGCACACGAGAAGGACAGCCTCCCGCATTCCCCGTTGCTCAGAGCAGCCTGTGCGTGGGGTCGGGGACAGCCTGGCCATCATGCTCTGCAAACAGACCGCACCCCCGTCAAGGGCCCTCCCCCAGGCTTCCAGGGCCAGTGTTTTGTTTTGTTTTATTTTATTAGAGAGAGAGACAGAAACATCGATGTGACAGAGAAACTTGCTACCTACTGGGGCAGAGCCTGCGACCCGGGCATGTGCCCTGAATGGGAATAGAACTGGGACCTTTCAGTCCATGGGATGGCGCTCCGTCCACTGAGCCCCGTCGGCCAGGCCAGGACCAGTGCTTTAAAAGGCCCAGGCCACGCCGACAGGGACCACACTGACCCAGTAGTGGGCAGTGGGAGCCGCTGGAACGTCTCCCACTGCAAAGAGATGCGAAGGCCCGTCAGCTGCCCTCTGCTATCACGGTGGTTTTGTGGCAAGGTTCTCTGCTTTCTCCTCGCCCACTGTAGAAGACAGGCCTCCAGGCCGGTCCTGACCTATAACTCGTGCCCGTCAGCTGCCCTCTGCTATCACGGTGGTTTTGTGGCAAGGTTCTCTGCTTTCTCCTCGCCCACTGTAGAAGACAGGCCTCCGGGCCGGTCCTGACCTATAACTCGTGCCCTGGTCAGTGGACGGGGTTCGCCTTGGTTTGCCAGCCCGGAAGAGTATTGCCCTGCGCTCCTCGTTGGGACTGGGCAGAGACTCCTCCCTCTGGCCTCGGGGATGGCGGCTGCCCAGCCCTTCTTCCCAAGGGCAGTTCCAAGGGGATCTTAGCCAAGGGAAGCAGGGTAAGGTGTCAGATATGTGATCTGCTCCCTAACCTGCTTTGTGGGGAGACAGAGAAGAGGGCCCTGCGGGGTTGTCCCTCTCAGCGTCCTTGGTGCTGTGTTCTGGAAGTTGGGGACACCTCCCCCAGCTGGCCTCCCAAGGAGGCGTGTGCCCGGTGGCCCTGACTGTCTCTCTGGCCCCAGATGGTTGTTCTGTGAGAGCACAGGGGACGCAGCAGGAGCTTAGCCGCTGCGAGCTCTGACCGTTGACCCCTGACCTGCTGCTGCAGAGCATCCCAGGTGCCCAGCGAGCAGCTTTGCTCCGATTTCTGGCTCAGTCGGGCTTTTGCAAACAAGATTGATGCCTCCTTCGTCATCTCCCTCCTCCCCCAGCCTCTCACCAGGTTGAGGTTAGATGAGATTTTTAACTTGAAGCTCTGATGTCTTGTACTCTCTGGAGTGTTGTCACACACAGAGGGGTGATCCTGGCTGCCAGCTGTGGGTGGCGCATTTCCTGGGCTGCTTCTGACCCTCACAACCAGCAGGCCAACCAAGGAGGGACACTGGGCATCACGGGCAAGCAGCTGGCCCGGCTGAGCTGACCGAGGCCTGGCCCTGCCAGACTGTGGGACTGCAGCCTGTCCTCCACGCTCCCCTGCATGCCAGTCTGTCACTGATCCTCATGGCAACCTCACCAGCTCACTGGGGGAGGTTCTAACCTCACCACTGTGCCCGGGAGGACACGGAGGCTCCCAAAGCCACAGCAGTTGGCAGAGCAGAACCAAAGCTGACACTGGGCGGGATGATGACCACCCAGGGTTTTACCAAGCAGGGCCGGGCCCAGGGGTGTGCAGGCCACCAGCATCTCAAACAAAACCACAAACCGGAGCACTTGCCAATTTCTGTGGTGTAAATACTCTCAAATTTGCCACAGCGAGCAGGGGATCGTTTTAAGCGCTCCGTGGTTTAACAGGTGGCTTGTGAAATTCCTGAACACACCCCTAGTTTTCAAGCCCTGGGCCTGAGGTTTCCTTATCTCTCAGCTGCTCACATAGAACTTCTCTCATGGGCGGAGAGAACCGGAGGCCCCCAGACAGGCACTGCTGCCCTAGACCCCGCCTTGGTCGAGCCAAGGAGGTGGGGGGCCAAGACCTCCTCCGGGGGTTTTCCTCCTGCCTCGGGGCTCCTGGCTGTGGTGCCGCTTGGGAGGTTTGCCCTGCCGAGGGCCACGTGTTCTGACGCCACACTGTACCCCTTGTCCCCGGCAGGTATCCGCACATCTGAAGCTCCAGGAGAAGGATGAAGGCAGAAGGGAGATGGTAAGTGTGTGCCTTGGGGCCACAGGTGGTCCAGAAAGTACACGGACTGCTCTTGGCAAATACACGTGCCGGCTCTGGCTCTGCTTTGGTGCTTGTCGCTTTGCCTTCTGTGTGCGCAGGATGGTGAGGTCTGGGCTGTGCTCTCGCCCGGCATCCGCTCTGGCCACTCTGTGCAAGAGCCACGGCCTGACTCTCGTGTCCTGGCTCTGCCCGCAAACGGGAGGGGCGCGGCGGGACAGCAGCCCGGGGGCTTAGGTGTTAGGGCTCGGGGTCAGCCCAAGGGCTGTCTTTTCGTGGTTAATATGCTTCATACCCAATTGCTTTTTATAAAATACTAACAATGAAGTGGTTAGTCATTCATTTAAAAATAACCAGCCTCCCCCGACACACACTTGCAAGAAGAAATTTGATTCTCACGTGTTATTAACCAGCCTTTTAACAAAATAAATTGAATACGTTTCCAGGGTGAGTAAGACCTCCCTCTAATCCCTTTGCTGGCTCTTTTTATTTCCTCAAACCCCAGCGAGTGGGGAGGGTGTGGGTAAGCAGACCTAGCGGGGGGCACCAGAAAGCCTCATTTTGGGTGAGGGTAACCACTTATATTGACACACATCTAAGAGAAACCCAACTTCCCTCCTCTCCACTCCACAGTGCGCGCTAGGGGATTTCGGTCACCGTGTCTTCTGCGGCCCGGGCAGGGCCACACAGGGGAAGACAGGGTCCGCAGGGTCCGCAGGGTTGGCCCCAGTGGCGCAGCGAGACTGTTCCTGTTTGCTGGGAACTGGGGTGACTAATGGGATAGTTATACAAGCTAAGGAAATGCTAATAGCAGTTCTATTTACATCTGCTCCATCCCCTGTCCCACGTAATAGTTACTGTTACATAAATGTGTGCCACCACGTGTGTAGGGCCCCTCCTCACCCTCTCTGTCCTCCTCCCCTCGCCCACCACACCCTCCTATCTCTTAGGGGTCCGCCCTTGAACCGGGAGGGGAGGGTTAACGGCACAGTGGCGATGGAAGAATTTCTGTGACCAATGGAACTTGTTGCTGCCAAAGACACATCACGTGGACCTTCTATTCTGAGCTTGCGAGGAATAAGTGGGCTTGACGGAACACAAAGCAGATGCGGGAAATGGGGGACCCTGCGTGTTTCTGTCCCTTGTCAACCAAAGGTCGTTGGCGTCCGTTCAGCACCAACAGGAACCCCCAGTTGGGAGTGCAGTGAAGGAGGAAGCTGGGTTCAGGGCAAACAAGTCCATTGTGACACAGCCCTGGCCTCGCAGGGCCCCCCGGGTCACCTTGGGCCTCTGCCTACAGCGCTCGGGCTTCGGCCTGAGAGGAGGGGACGGACGCAGGCCCCCGGCCTGTGGGGCAGCATGAGGGTGAGTCAGGCGACGCCTTCGACGCGTTCGAGCCGCACAGAACAGGCCTGACCCATAAGTAGGCCACGGAGGCCGTTCCGGCAGCGTGACCCCCGGGCCAGCCTTTCCGGGGGGGGAGGCCAAGGGGAGAGGCTGGAGGACGCGTACGGGCTTCTCGGCTGACTGTCCAGGAGCACGGCCAGCCTCCCTCTGCCCCCTGCACCACTTCTGTCTGTTCGTCGGGCCTTCAGGGGCAGCTCCCGCCAGGTAGCCGGCATCACCTAGCTCAGACGCAGAGCAGAGAGACGCGCCGGCCTCTGCCGCATTCGCGTCGGTGCGGCGGGGTCTTCCCTGGGTGGTGCTGGTCGCCCCGCGGAGTGAGAGCCTGGCACCCGTCTTCGGATGTGTCTGATGCCGATTGAACAAGGCAGCGAGCCGCCCCGGCGGGGCCAGCCAGTGCCCTGCACACGTCTCCCACGGGACGTCTCTGGCCTGGGCCACCGACCAGCCTCCTGGTGCGCAGCCACGCTCGGGCCCCTCTCCCGCAGGGAGCCTTCGGCCGGAGCGTCGATTATGTCAAGGATAAGAAGCCCATCACAGGCCCTGACTCATTTCCCTCCACCTCCCAGCGTGGAAACACAATGGACTGGAATGTGCTGGCCGGACTGGAATGTGCTGTCGGGCCTTCCTTGTTTCCCAGAAAAGCAGCCTCAGGCCTCAAGAGCCTCCAGGGAGGGGGCTTCCTCAGGAGCGAGGTCCCCAGGGCCGGATATTGTTCTCTCAGACTACTTTTGAATCAAAACTAACCCGCGGAGTGTTACTCTTGGGAGCCCACTGGAGAAAACACGCTGGGTGGGCGGGAAGGGAAGGCGCCGCCGCTTCCAGAACCTTCTCCACTGGGGCCGAGGGACGCCCGGCGCAGCAGCGAGACCCCGGGGGAACAGATGGCAGGCGAAGGGCCCGTGCCGGTCTGTGATGGCCCCAAAGGACCTCGAATGACCAGCAGGACTCTCTATCCTGTGACTTTGGCCCGTGGGTCTGCACGGGACCGGAAGTGTGCCAGGAAGAACCGTGCCCGCCGGTCCCACTTCGACCTCGCTGACCTTACTTCTGGGTTGGTGTCCCTCAAAGGCGCTACGTTCTAGAAGAGAGTGGAGTGGGGTTTAGGGATCAAGAGGAGAGAGGGTGATCAGGATTCGAACCCAGGCCTGTCTGACCAACTGCTTTCCAGCCCGGGAGCAGCAGTGTCCTGGCTCTTTCTGTCACCAAAGCCGAATTTTGTGTTGACCGGGGTGAAGTAATTCGAGAGCTGAATGGAAATTTTCTTTCTTGTGAGTTCTTTCTCCTTCCGGATGACCTCATCGCCCGGAGAAGCCGCTGGGCCGGGTCCACCCAGATGGACCCAGGAGCCCCAAGGGCTGGGCGAACCCCAGGAGGTGAGCCTGGTGTGGAGGCAGGGAGGCCACAGCCAACCTCCGAGGAGATGCTGAGCGGCTCCCGAACCTGGCGCCACCACCTGCCCTGAAGTCTGCTGACGCTTCTGTTCCCCGAGGCAACACTGGATCGATAATCCCATCAGACAGGGAGGCTCCGCGCACGGTGGACTGTGTGTCTCAGGGGCCAGCCTGCGTCTCTGGAGGCGGGGGGATGGCTAGGCAGGGGCTGGCTGCCTCCAGTATTGTCGGTCCTGCGGCCCCTTCAGAGACCTCGTTACCTGCTGACAAGTGCCAACGGGCTCCGCTCCCTCTTCCGGGAGCCCAGGCCCGTGCGGCCGTGTCTGCAGGAGCTGGCGTCGCTAGACGCTCACACCTGCCAAGCACTTTCGTGCGTGATCCCATCTCACCGTCCTGGTGGCCCTCGCTTTGTGCGGTCAGAAACCTGCCCGTCTGCCCGTCCGTGTGCCCACTGATCACCCGTCCGACAGCTGTTTGCTCAACACCGTCCCTGCCCTGGCCTGAGCGAGGCTTACAAGTGAAGGGACAGGAGGCGGGACAGGGACGGCCCACGCAGGCCACTGCACCGCTGCTCAGCCCCCCGGGCCTACATCAGGACGTTGGACTTGGAAATGGGCAGCCTGGGGGGGGGGGTTGCGTGGATCTCTGTGTGTCTGGGAGTGGGGTGGGGAGGCAGCGGCTTCCGTGGGGTGCTGGAGGTGGCGGCATGTGGTGGAAGGTCCCTGAGAGCCACTCTGGCTCTGTCACTCCCCCAGGTCAAGGAGATCCTGACGGCCCTGGGCTTGCTGTCTTGTGCCGACACGAGGACCGGCAGCCTCTCGGGCGGGCAGAGGAAGCGCCTGGCCATCGCGCTGGAGCTGGTGAACAACCCTCCCGTCATGTTCTTCGACGAGCCCACCAGGTATTCAGGGGCAGGGCAGGGAAGAGCCTGGCCTCTCGGCCAGCAGATTTCATGGGCGCTACTGGGACTGCAGGAGGAGGAGGCTGTGGCCAGCCTGCCCCATCTTTTGTCCTACTCTGGGGTCACAGAACTGAGGCCTGACTTGCCCACTCTCCCTGTCTGAGACTAGGGGCACCCATGGGTCAGGCTCGCACACACACCTGGCCAGGGCACTCTGAGTGGGGGCGTGGTTTGGAGGTCCCACAGGTGTCTCATGGTGCCCCTTGACTTGCAGCGGCCTGGACAGCGCCTCCTGCTTCCAGGTGGTCTCCCTGATGAAAGGGCTGGCTCAAGGGGGGAGGTCCATCATCTGCACCATCCACCAGCCCAGTGCCAAGCTCTTCGAGCTGTTCGACCAGGTACGCAGACCCTGCGATCAGCCCCGGTGCACCTGGATCCCGGGTGCTCAGCTGCCCGTGCCTGGGGCGGCCTCAGTGTTGAGCGGCCTTCGGTGTGATGTTTCACACGATGCTGGAGCCGTCGGCAGCTGAGGAGGTGTACACAGAGCCGGAGTGTCCTCTCTGGGGCTGGGTGTGGCCACACAGGCTTGGGCGAGTCACTGACATTGCTGAGGCTTCATGTTACAGTGGGGAAATATCTGTTCACTGACTAAGACGTTACCTTATTTGTATAATATCATGTTTTAGAAATCTTAAGTTTTGATATTATGAGCAAAAAAATAAAAAGTCCCAAGGGTTGAAATATGTACGGCTCCAGAATCTTTCCTGAGCAGGTGGTTAGTTAGGGTGAAAAAAAGCAATGTAATCAATAATTCAAGGCCTCATGATAGCCTCAGTTTTTCTGGTCTTATCATAGATTTCCCTGTGAACCTTAACAGAGTCTTTGGGAGGTAATGGAGAGAGAGATAAAAGGAAGAAAGTTAGAAGATAGATAGATAGATAGATAGATAGATAGATAGATAGATAGATAGACAGATAGATGGATATGGTTGAATAGAGGGTAGATGGGTAGATGGATGGGTGGATAGTGGGTTGACAGATGGGCGGGTAGATGGTGGATGGATGGATGGATGGATGGGTGGTGGATGGATGGATGGATGGTGGATGGTGGGTGGATGGGTGGATGGATGGAAGGAAGGATGGATGGGTGGATGGATGGATGGATGAATGGTGGATGGTGGGTGGATGGGTGGATGGATGGGTGGATGGTGGATGGTGGGTGGATGGGTGGATGGATGGGTGGATGGATGGATGGGTGGATGGATGGATGTATGGATGAATGGTGGATGGTGGGTGGATGGGTGGATGGATGGGTGGATGGTGGATGGATGGATGGGTGGATGGATGGATGGGTGGATGGATGGATGGGTGGTGGATGGTGGATGGTGGATGGATGGGTAGATGGGTGGATGGTGGATGGATGGATGGATGAATGGTGGATGGTGGGTGGATGGATGGGTGGATGGTGGGTGGATGGGTGGATGGATGGTGGGTGGATTGGTGGATGGGTGGATGGATGGTGGATGGATGGATGGATGGATGGTGGATGGGTGGATGGATGGTGGATGGATGGTGGATGGATGGTGGATGGGTGGATGGATGGTGGATGGATGGATGGATGGATGGATGGTGGATGGTGGGTGGATGGGTGGATGGATGGTGGGTGGATGGGTGGATGGGTGGATGGATGAATGGTGGGTGGTGGATGGATGGGTAGATGGGGGGGTTAAGAGCACCCGTTCCTTCATGGAGGCAGGCAGCATTGATGTTTACCTCTCTTTGCTCTTTTCCAGCTTTATGTCCTGAGTCAAGGACAATGTGTGTACCGGGGAAAAGTCTCCAATCTTGTACCATATTTGAGGGATTTAGGTCTGAACTGCCCAACCTATCACAACCCAGCTGATTTTGGTAAGTAGAACCTTGGGCAGGAAGGAAAAGAAAGGAATTATTTCTTTTTGCCACTCCTGGTGGATCTCCACATCCCGGTGCCCCGTCAGGGACTGCCTGAGTTTCCCACAGATGCCAAGTGCCATCCTGTGGCGAGACGTTTAAGGACAGAGAAAAAGAGGTTGTTTTTCCTCCAGATGAAATATCTGCAAGTTCTAGCGGGGAGCTGTTGTTGGGAGTGATATTTTCTAACATCTCTCATGTTAGTCCCCGTTTAAAGAAAGTTATTTCTAACAAGAAATAACACAGTGGCCCCGTCACTTCAGTCCCTGCCTCCACGAGGCTTTTTTCTCCGTGTGTCTCTGTGTCCTCTCTCTGCTAAGGACACCGGTCATTGGATTCAGGGCCCATCCCAAATCCAGGATAGTTTCACCGCAAGACCCATGACCAATTACATCTCAAGAAACCTTTTCAAATAAGGTCACATCCTGAGGTTCCAGGTGGACACGACTCACTGGGGGACGCTATTCAGCCCACTGTAGCCCCCCACTTGGCCTTCCGGTCACCAGCCCTTCTCCTTCAGTTGCTCTTCTCTCAAACACCTGCCACACTCCCAGGATTTCATATTTTCTACAACACCGTCTCCCACATCGCGTTCTACAAGACACTGTTCCTGGGAAATGCTTCTCCACAGGAGTGAGGATGTGGGAGTGGGAGGGGGGAGGGGACAGAGAGCTCTGTTGAAAGGCAGTGGGATGGACCCAGGTCACAGTCACCTGTTAATTCACAAGAAAGAAGGACGGTCAGGGAGGGGCGTGCCGAGCGGGGACGGGCAGTGAGGGCCAAGGCCTGCAAAGCGATGCCAGCCTAGAGGAAGGACAGACAGGAGGAGAAGGAGGGGTGGGACCTCAGCGAAGCCCCAAAAGGCTCGGGCGTGGCTCCCTTTCCCCAGCATCCCCTGGAGAGAGCGGAGGTGCAGAGAGGGGCCGTTTGGGGAGGGTGGGTGTGAGTGACCAGCCGAGTGAGCAGTGCTGAGCTCCTGTGGTGTCCTCGATGATGACCTTCTGGTGGGGCCACCTGTCCTGGTTTATGAGAAGTGGGGTTGATGGTCTCAGCCCTCAGTGCCCCAAGATGCCAAGCACACCTCAGGGCCCCGGGCACCCCTTCTCTGTGGTCCCACTGAACTGCCACAGCTCTCGTCACTCACGTCTGGCCCCACGCGCGAAATGCGAGCTCTCCAAATGCAAATTCTGCTTGCTTCCAGCTTCCACTCTGAGGCTCGGATGCCCGGAGCAGACATTCCATAAACACTGGATAGACGCCTACGTTAATAGAGAATGAGCTACTCATTTTCATTCCCTGGCTCCTGACATGAGTGATGGCCATGCTGGGGGGTTACAGCCGAAAGAACATTGGTGCTGAACGATCTGTCATAGGACCATGATCCTGCAGCTTGTATATAATCCGTTTGAAATACTCCTGCCGGATTCATGGCTCCGTAGCTGCAAAAATGAAAGCGGCCGCGTGCACGCGGGGTCCCGGCCCTGGCTAACCGCACGCCCCTGTCTCACACAGTCATGGAAGTGGCGTCCGGTGAGTACGGCGATCAGAACGGCCGCCTGGTGAGAGCCGTCCGCGAGGGCCTGTGCGACTCGGACTACCCGAGAGAACCTGGGGACGATGCCGAGGCGAACCCTTTCCTCTGGCACCGGCCCCCCGAAGAGGTAAAGCAGACAAAACGATTGAAGGGGCGGAGAAAGGTAATCCCACCCCCGGCCCGGGGAGCACCGCCGCGCTGTGGCCGGAGCTCTTTCTCAGCCCTGAGCGAATGCGGGCAGGGTGGGGTCTCACCCCTCCTTCTCGGTGTCCCTCAGGACTCCACCTCCATGGAGGGCTGTCACAGCTTCTCCGCCAGCTGCCTCACCCAGTTCTGCATCCTCTTCAAACGGACTTTCCTGAGCATCATGAGGGACTCGGTGAGTGCGCTTGCAGTGGCCTCCTGTGGCGAAGGGAGCTGCTGGTCATCCTCAGGTTGGCCGCCCCGACGGTCGTCCCTCCGTCTGCATCAGGCGGCGTGCACGCTGGCGTGCCGCTGCGACCTCCATGCCCTCGAGTGCCAGCAGCTCCAGCAGGGAACACGACGTGTCGCTCGTGTCCCCACTGCTGGCTGAGCCGTGACTCTGCCCCTCTGTCTCCTCCTCCTGGGACTCAGGATGGAGGAGCAGCTCCTTGGGAGGGTGTGACAGAGGCAAAGTGCGAGGGAGAAGCCATGTGAAACTTCTGGTGGCAGTTCGTCCCTTGTGCTCATGTCCCTCTGATCGAAGCAAGTCAGAGGGCCAAGCGTGGCCTCAGGGAGTGCTCCCTCCCTCGGGGAAGCCGGGAGGCAGGGGGCGCTGGGGTGGACGGGGCCTGTTAGGACGGAGGTGGTGAGTGTTGAGAACTGTAGTAAAATCCACCTTTAATGTGGACAGTCCAACAACCTACCCAGGGGGGCTCGAGGGCTCAGTGGGCCTCAGGGACCTCGTTTGAAAGATGGAGGGCCTTGTAGCAACCCATGCTCGAACTCTTCAGGGGTGGCCTCTGCTATGTCCATCCTTTGTCCCTTTGTCCACCATCATTGTCACTTGTTCCCCCTCCTCTGAAGGCAGACAGACCTTGCTTGTCATTTTTGAACGATTCTATTTTAACAGCAATAACATGCCGCCCTCTGTGTGCATGTGTGAGCGTTGGTTTCGGGTTGGAGGCTTGTTTCCCTGGAGAAGGGGCAGGGTGGGCATGAGGTCGGCCACAGATGTTGCCCCCAGAGGCCTGGGTCCTGTTCTGTCCTGTCCAGCCACCGTACCTCCGGGCGCGCGGTGACAGCCATGTCTGCCCTAGGTCTTGACACACCTGCGGATCACCTCTCACATTGGCATCGGCCTGCTCATCGGCCTGCTGTACCTGGGGATTGGCAACGAAGCCAAGAAGGTCCTGAGTAACTCCGGCTTCCTCTTCTTCTCCATGCTGTTCCTCATGTTCGCGGCCCTCATGCCCACCGTGCTCACGTGTGAGTGCCCCCGCCACCTCTCCTTCACTGTCTGTCATTCCAGCCCACGGGTCGGGGACCGGGCCCTGGCTTGGCCACGCGATGAATTCTCTGAACATACACTCTCTTGCTTTTAAATATACCATTTTTTTTTTGTAGACAGATACAGCTATTATTGCATTTTCTGTTAGACAAGAACAACATACCATAGTTAAGGGTCACTGAAGGAAGGCTTTTACGCATGGTAGAAGGCTGAGGAGAGAGTTCTGAAAGGTTTTCTAATCAGGAGCCCCTCAAATTCTACTGCTCACCTTGTCCAGTTGTGAAGACAGCCCAGGTGCAGCCAAACTCGGAGTGGATGAAGCTGTTACAGATGGATCTCCGTGCAAGTCTAGATCATCCGCAGAGCAGGCTGCCCGTGGGCTCTTTGGGCTGATAGTGTAGCATAAACACGTCCTCCCCACGATGCCTCCTCCCTAAGCCACCTGGAATTTCCAAGCCTGGCTTCCCAGGTCTTGCCCACGGGAAGGACACGTTGCCACAGTTACTCGAGGAGAATTAGCTGAGCAATATTAATCACTAAAACGGTACTCAGTATTTGCAGGGATACTCTCCAGCCGGTGACTCCGACTCCTCGGGTTATGAAAGTGGTCGGCAGTGTCCCAGGCTGGGCCATCAGTCCCGTCTCTTTCATCCAAACCCTGAGCGCTGCCGGTGTGGAGAGGCCAGGTCTCCTGGCCAGTACCTGACACCCTGGGTCTGCCCGCTTGACCCCTTTTCCATGTTCCTGTCTCCTAGTTCCCCTGGAGATGGGAGTGTTTCTTCGGGAACACCTGAATTACTGGTACAGCCTGAAGGCCTACTACCTGGCCAAGACCATGGCCGACGTCCCCTTCCAGGTGGGTATACGAAGGGCTTGTATTTGACGAGGGGCAGGAATTCTCCGCCATACCCCGTAGAACGGGGTGGATAATCCCGATTTCCACGAGAGGGTAATGGACCCCGTGTTTCCAGATCATGTTCCCGGTGGCCTACTGCAGCATCGTGTACTGGATGACATCGCAGCCGTCCGACGCCGTGCGGTTCGTCCTGTTTGCTGCGCTGGGCACCATGACCTCGCTGGTGGCACAGTCCCTGGGCCTCCTGATCGGAGCTGCCTCCACATCCCTGCAGGTACCAGCCTCCCCACTGCCCGGTGGGACTCAGCACTGCCCCTCCCCCTCCTCGCGCTGCCCGACTGCCCAGATCAGCTTCTCCAGGCCGGTCGCTGGGCAGGACTCCTATCGCCCTGGCTGCCCAGCATGGCACACCGCCAGCAGCAGGTGCCCTCATGTGGCTCTCGGTGTGTGCCACGTGCTGTGCTCAGTGCTTTCCACAGAATAGCTCATTAGTCCCCAGCATACCCCATTAGGTACTGTGCTCTCCCCGGCTTGCAGGGGGGACACTGAGGCCCAAAGAGGCAACGTGATTTGGTCAAGGTCACGCAGCTGGCTCAGAGGACAAGCTCTTGATGCCCAGATTGTGTTGCCTCGGGGGATCCACTTGGCATCCCTTCGACCTCCATTGCACCCCCGCCTTTCCACCCGACCTGAGTCCCTCCACATGCCCCTTCTAGACTCCGGTACCACCACCCACAGCCTGCGACACCCAAGTGCATTTGCTGGTTCCGCACCTCCGGGACTTCGGGGTGCGCAGGCCGGGCTTTCCCTAGGAGCAAAGCTTGAGCGCCGGTAACCACGGACACCCGAGGGCAGCTGCCCACTCCCCAGACCGGGCGCTTCTCCACGCCATCCTGGGTGACCCACCCTGAAAACCAGTTCCTTTCCCAGCGGTCCCAGCGGCTGCCTAGGAATATGGCCTCCAAGGGCCACCTGCCGAGGAGACCGGGTGGGACTCTGAGCTCTCTCTGTGTCCCCCCAGGTGGCAACCTTCGTGGGCCCTGTGACGGCCATCCCCGTCCTCCTCTTCTCGGGATTTTTCGTCAGCTTTGACACCATCCCCACCTACCTGCAGTGGATGTCCTACATCTCCTACGTCAGGTAGCGTGTGTGGGACCCTGTATAACCCGAGAGCTTTACGGTGACAGAGGGAAGGGGACTCGTTAACGGCGGACGCTCACGAAGCCACATTTTGGTTGTCAGCTAAATGCCGGCACAGTTCCCAGATCACGGATCCCAGAGGACTGGTGCCTTTTATTTTTGTCCTAGTTTTATGTCCCCACCCTCACCGACGCACACAACACAGAGCAGGTAGGACTGGCCGCCCGCACCCTGAAGGAGCCCAGGTGGGCCCACATTCTGGTCCTTCAGCGAGTCCTCCGGGGAGCTTTCCACCTGTTAGACACTTCATTCCTCTCTGACACACACATGCTCGGGACGCTTCCTGACCCTGAAACCCCGCTAAGAAATCCGGAGGGAAACGAGGCACGGCCTCAGCATGCCAGTATCTTTGGACGCCAGTTTCCTGCACGCAGGCGCTGGGTCGATGCCGTGCTCCACGCCCGGGGCCCCTGGCGCGCTGGCCCTCGGGGCTGCGCTTGTCTTCACAGCTTTCCTGCCTCCCGGCTGTGGCATTTCCGGGACATGCAGGTCCCAAGCTGGAGCAAGCTTCTCTTTTGTAGCACGTCAGTTCAGGTGTCCTGTTCTGGAAACAAAGCCCTCGCACAGTTTCAGCAGCCTGTGCGCCCAGGTCGAGAAACCCGAACCCCGAGTCTTCGTCCTCAGAGCAGTGTTTGTGTTCGGACAGTGGGGGCTGGCACAGCAGGTGGGGCGGGGGTTTTGTCGAGTGCGTGTGGTGCTCGGAAGGCTCAGGCCCTCTCCTGTATCCAGCCTCTGCAAAGCGTGTCCCAGCAGAAGTAATCACAGTGTTTTCAATTCATTGCGCTGAACAAATACCTGTGACTCGTTCAGTCTGGAGGAAATGAAACTGACAAACAATGGAGCGCAGCTGCCACGGGTGTTCACCTCAGGGAGGGGCTGGGAGGCTCAGAAGGGTCGCAGTGCGGAAGGAGCTATGGGAGGGGAGCCGATGGGGACCATGGAGAAGGCAATGGAGTGGGTGGAGGCAGAGTCGGAGCCGACAGGGACCACAGAGAAGGCGATGGAGCGGGCGGAGGCAGAGTCAGGCTGGAGAAGGCGATGCAGCGGGTGGAGGCAGAATCGGAGCCGACAGGGACCACACAGAAGGCGATGGAGCAGGCGGAGGCAGAGTCAGGCTGGAGAAGGCGATGGAGCGGGTGGAGGCAGAGGCAGGGCCGGAGAAGGTGATGGAACAGGCGGAGGCAGAGTCAGGCTGGAGAAGGCGATGGAGCAGGTGAAGGCAGAGTCAGAGCCGACGGGGACCACAGAGAAGGCGATGGAGCGGGCGGAGGCAGAGTCAGACCAGAGAAGGCGATAGAGTGGACGGAGGAAGAGTCAGGCTGGAGAAGGCGATGGAGTGGGTGGAGGCAGAGGCAGGGCCGGAGAAGGTGATGGAGCAGGTGAAGGCAGAGTCGGAGCCGACGGGGACCACAGAGAAGGCGATGGAGCGGGCGGAGGCAGAGTCAGGGCATCTGGGGATAGGCGTCCGGATAGGCGTCTGGGGGCCAGGGGCAGAGGCTTGCTCACACGGGCACTTTCCTCCGCAGGTACGGGTTTGAAGGGGTCATCCTGTCCATCTACGGCCTGGACCGAGAGGACCTGCACTGCGACATTGACGAGACCTGCCACTTCCAGAAGTCGGAGGCCATCCTGAGAGAACTGGACGTGGAGAACGCCAAGCTCTACCTGGACTTCATCGTGCTGGGCGTCTTCTTCATCTCGCTGCGCCTCATCGCCTACCTGGTCCTGCGGTACAAAATCCGGGCGGAGAGGTAAGGCGCCCGCAAGCCACGAGGAGAAAGGACACTCACCGCCAAGGGCACCTCACGGACGCGTGGTGGCCAGCCTGTGCCCGCGGACGGACGCAGGGACCACTGTGGCCCAATCCTGAGCCGCCACATCTGCGCGGGGCCAAGTGTTCAGCAGCCCCGCCCGGGGCGGCCTCTCTCCAGCTTTGCCAGGGAGACGACGGAGGAAGGATGAGTTCCACACGCAGACTCCAAACCTGTACCGAAGCTGGTGGCAGGCCTCCTCCGTGACGTCCCTGCTCGTGACCGGGCAGCTCTGTCCCGCACAGACGGACAGGGCACGCGCGCCTGTCGCGGGCCTCGGTCGTGCGTCCCGGGGAGAAAGGCGAAGAGGGAAGTGGTTCCATTTTATGACTTGTTTTCACAGTTTTCATCTTTCTACAGTTAGTCTCTTTTTCCGATGAGAAGTCGCTTTCCAAGCCAAAAGTCGACAAATTTCATCGTAAGAAACTGTGTTTGCAGAACTGGTCGCAGAGCATTGTCCCGGGTGAGCTGGCCTCGCGGGCGGACGGGCCGCAGGCGCGGGAGGCGCCGGGTAGAGGAGACGGGCTATGGACACACTAAACGTGCCGAATTTTCAAATGTCACAAAGCGTCGGAAGGCGACATTGGCCAAGTCTTCCGAAGTCTCTTATTGCCCTGAGCTTCTTATTTTAAGCAAAATATATGGTTTCTTTCTTTCTAAGTTTCTGAGCACCTTAATTTTGCCTAAAGAATTCCAGAAGATCCACCCTGTTGGGTTTTTGCAAACGTTTTCCCTTTCCTCATATATCACATCAACTACCTCCACTGAACCTGGGGGCTGGCCGCGGGCCCCCAGGTGCGACGCTGAGGTCCCGGGGCAGCCGGACCGAGAACGGACTGCAGGTGGAAGCCGCCGAGCCCTGCTCGAGTCCGAGGCCCGGGCACGACCGCAGGCACTTAGCGTGGGGAGGTGTCCGTAGCGCCGTCAGACGAGGCTGTGGGTGAGTCCGTCCCGGAGGCTGGTTCTGCTGGCAGCTCAGCGGCACCCACTGTTAGTGTCTGGTTTGTGTCCACCTCGCAGGCCGAAGCCCTGCTTCCCAGAGACACAGTCGCATGAGTAATCCCTCTAGGGCAGGGACAGTGATTCCTGCAGGTGAACAGCCTTCGACCTGCGAACAGAAAGCCGCGTGCCTGCCGGCCGTCAGGCGGTGTCCACAGGGCAGGGGGTGCTTCTGGCCAAAGGTCATCTGAAGGCAAATGGAGCTGCCTTGGCCCCCTAGAACATCGTCATTCTGGAATCAGGGTCCCCTAATGAAAGATTGTATTTTTGTGGGCAAATTCATGAACCTCTCTGACCCTCAGTTTCCTGTTCTGTAAATAATGGCACTAGCTAGTCTTCAAGGCCATTTCAGCTCTAAAAGAGTCCTTGGTTCTGTTCCCAAAACTCTTAGCTCCTACTTCAGAGAATGAAAAGAGTTCCATTTTTATTTGCACATGCATCTGATTCCCCAGTGCTTAGAGATCCCATTTTCACCCTTCGGTCTTTTCTAGCAAACACAATGGAGGTATATTACAATGTAGTTTTAAGTTTGCTCGTTGGACACAAATATAGCAACATTGCCTTCTCGACCATGTTATTTAACCAGGGTCAAACTTCGCCTTTGTAAAAAGTCGTCTTTGAATTTCAAGATAGATTTGCCTGTAAGACATCACACGTAGGAACAGCCCAGTGCAATGTGGAGTTGGGAGGAGGAGAAAGTCCCGTCAGCCTCCGAATCACACCAGGTGAGGTCGGTGTTTCAAGACCTCTCCTGCGGGTGAGCCCTTTGGTGGCGGCCCTGTGACCTGCTAAGGACGTGCATGCCAGGAACTGTCCTGAGTGTGGTCGACCCTCTCACTCACTAAGCCCACAGTGTTGTGTCTCAGCAGTTTCCAAAGGAAACAGGGAGACTCCTTTAGATTTAAAATCTCACCTCCAAGCACACCTAAGCCCTCGGAAGGAATGATTTCCACAGGACTTCATGCTCTTGCGTTTCAGTTTTTTACTGTTAGCAGATTACATTCACCACTCAATAGACAAACAGCTGACTAGGTCTCCCCCTACCCAGGGGCAGATCTTTGGGGACGAGAGGGCTGTCGGGCCACTAGAAGGAAAACCGCCTGCAAAGTAACCAGGGCTATTTTTAAAGGATGCTGAGTGGAGAGTAGCAGGTGTACTAAGTCAGCACCCGGAATAATTTGCCTCTAAAGAACTAAAGCCATGTTGGGTAAGGATGCATCACCTCTTGGATGCTGCCTTCACCCCAATTCAACGACTGCACTTGTACTTTGTCATTATAAACCCTTCAGAGCTTTTACCGAAAAGCCGCTGTTCCGTTCCGATCTCCAGATATTTGCCCTCTGCTCTAGTCTAGGGTCGTCTGAGAACACACCTTATTCCAGTGGCCTAAGATCACCTCTGAGCAATGTGTTGGTTTATTCTTCTGAATGCTGGGTCCAGAGGCAGGCGGTGATGAGCCGGTGTTCCTGCAGCAGAATGTAACCCGGGCCAGCTTCCCAAATCCGATGCCCTGCAGTCACTTCCGGGTGCAGTGACGCAGACCCTCCTCCCACTTCTGATGGCTTCTGGGTGTAGAGAAGGGTGAGCTTGGGTACAAGATGCTCGGCTTCTCCGGAGGTTGGCAGAAGGCCAATGGAAGCCCAGGGAACCTCACTTTGAAATGAAACTTGTCAGGACAGAAGGGGACACCTGGGATTCTAGCCACTGTCCTGGGTCCAAGACAGCACCGGGGCCTGGTCTCTGCTGACCAGCCCCACTCTGGGAGCCTGTCCCCACTGGGAGCATCCTGTGCCCCCGTCTCTGATGCTTATTGGATGTCAGTTAGAGAGTGAAATTCTTTAGAGCTGTGGGTGACGTGGGAGACTGTCCAGAAAGGGAAGAAACCTTCCGTGAACATTTACACAGAAGGTGCTGGGGAGGGCTTCAGGACCAGGAAATGGGACATAAGCTTTCAGGTTAGAAACTCGTCCATAGAAAGGTCCATCTTCCTGCCCTGAGAAGGGCACGGCCAGCACGTCAGGGACAGGCCATGGCCATGAGGTTGGAATCACCATGGTGGTTTCCCTGAGAAAAACTGAGCGACAGTGCATTGAGCATCTTTCTCCGTCAAGTGTTCCGGGCTCTGGGCTGCTGCCTTAGGACTTCCTCCATGCGCTCACTCAGCGAGCGTCCACTGACCATCCCGAGCTTGGTGCTGTCTGTCCCAGGCACTGGGCTCGGAAGGGGAGCCCGGGTGTGGGCCAGCCTCCAGCACAGGCAGGTGGGAGGGGCCCGTGCCCACAGCGCTCTGTCCATCCTGGAGATGCGGACAGCTGGCTGGCAGAGGGGTCCCCAGTCCCAGGGCCAGGAAAGAGCGGATTTGGAATTCGAGCCCCAGTCTGACCTCAAAGTCTCCATTTCTTCTTTTTTGTGTGTGCTTTGCCACACTGCCTCCTGTTCAAAGTGTAAAAATACACATGGAAATACCCTGTAAGGTGTACAACACACTGCTGGCTTAGAGGCTGTTCATTCTGCACTAGCTATCACCAAACAGACAGCTGAGATGGGAGGGTGGCCATGCCCCTCCCGGCAATGTCTTCGCCTTGGGGCGTCCAGAGCTGGCCCGGCTGAGCTCAGTCCTGCCTCCGTGGGTGCACGGTGCCTTCCTCTGCCCTCGCACAGTCTTAGCTTCCTCACACAGCTCACCTGTGGACGAGCTCGGGCAGAGGGGCTGGCGTGTGTGCCTGTGTGTGTGTGTGTACCACACATGCACACATGCAGGCTTGTGCTAGGCTGTATGTCATCGTATTACTCTGTGGTGTTTCCTGCCTCTATGAACCCTCAATCATCTTTTACTCCGAGAAGAAAGAGAATTCCCACACTCCGTGCCTGCCATGCAGATGGTAAGAACGTCGTCCAAACCCCGTAAGGATCACATCCACTACCAGCTAAATGACAATGTGACAAAAAGTAAAACAGAACAGGTCAAAGGGGGTGTGCAGAGTGTCTGGATACAAAGTTACATTCTCGCGAGAAATAACGACTGCTAATAAAATATTTTACATAAAGCCTTTTGTGTGTGTTCAGTGTTGAATGCTTCTCGTTCAAAGTGATTCTCTTGAATTGGGTTAAGTAAACTAGATTTGGCGGTTGTGTTCTGAATACGTTTGCTGTACGTTTAGGAGGAGTTCGGGTTTATTACTTAGTGTTGCCGTCTAATACCGATGGTAAATCATCGCCTTCCTCTCTGGGGAACTTGCGTGTTTTATGCTGCTCTGTCTTCAAGTTTTGTGGGTTTCCTCCGTCCTCCCAGACTCCTCACTCACTGTCTCCTGCCTTGTTCGTGTTGGCCAGGACCTCAGAAAGTGCCAAGGCCCCAGGGCAGGGGCCTGCGCCAGGCCTTTGCTCCGGTCTCCTTCAGCCGTGCAGTGGTCTGGTGGGTGTGGGCTCTGGGTAGTGGTTCCGCCAGTGAGCATCCGCATTCATGGCTCCGGGCTCTGGGAAACCCACATCTCGGACCTCGGCCTCTGGAGGCGGCTGCTCCGCAGAGAGCACCCCCATGAGCTTTAACTCCCAGTCAAGCTGAGCAGGACCCAGGAGGAGCCTGGAGGTACAAGCTGCATGAGCCCCCGGTCCCTGCGCTGTGGCCAGATCTTCTGGGCGGCGGCACTTAGGGCCGGGCCGTCACCTTGGGCTTTCCTCCCACCAGGGACACAGAGCAGGCCTGCACAGAGTCACAGAACCAGCGGCGCTGTCATCCTCCTAAGTGACAGGCGAGAAGGGTGGTGTGCACAATCGGAGGACACCCCAGAGGCGGGACACGCTCATGACGACAGTGCCTGCCAACCGAACCTCCCAGCCTCTGCGGCCCGCCGGCCCGCCCTCGGTCCCCTCCCTCTGGTCACTGCACTTGGCTTCCCATGGCAGGGAGGTTCCTGAGACCCTGGTCAGGACCTCCCTGGAACCAGAAGCAGGGAAGGAGTGGGGGTGCCCCCACCCCTAGTGCACACTAATTTTCACACTTGCAAGTTCATCTCTCCTGTACTCAAACCCACACCCCTGGGCAGGAAGGCAGCGTGAGGGGGTGCTCTCGTGCCCCCCTTCCGGCTGTAGCTAGATTTTCTGAGAACTGGCATATCCTCCCCTGTTTCCTATTTTTATCCTTGAGGAACCAGAAGGGTCTACCTGTGCTCCGTGTTTAATGTCAGGCTCAGGGACCCAGTGCCACTCTGGTCTCACCTAGTCCTCTGAGGTCAACAGCAAAACTCTCCATTCACACCCGCCACGGGTCCCGCCCAGAGAGGGACTGTCATGGTGGGACAAGCTTTGGGGTTTTGCACCAGGTAGTGACCATTGCAAAGCTGCAGAGACAGAGCACGAAGCGCCCTTGTGTGTCACCCACCGGGTGGAGCCTGCGCTGGGCCTGGGCCTTCCGAGGGCGTTTGGGACCCTGGCCAGCTCTCTGGGGGACTGAGCTTGCTCCCTGGTCCCAGGGAGACCCCCACGGCCACCGCCTGCCGTCCGAGTCTAGGACACGGCCACACACACGTGTGAGTTTCTCACCCGGCTTCGCGGTTTGATCCCGATCTCGGGAGGGGCTCGAGCCCCAGCCCCATGAATAAAAACAGCAAAGTTCAAACTGGCTGTAGGCAGTGGGAGCTGCCCTCATGGAGTGTACCATCCTGCTTCTGGGTTGGCGCCGAGTAAATGTGGGAGGGACTCGGGCCGATCTCCTGTGGGTGCCGGTAGCCTATACTTTGCCCCTGGATTGAAGCGAGGCCCTGCTATTGTGTCAGCGACAGGGTACTCACGTTCATCTGCTGCCGCCTCTCCTGACGGGAGGGGTTCGTCAGGTGCCGCAGGGCCCCAGGTGAGCCGGAGGAGATGCTGAAGCCTGGCGGGCAAGTGTCAGGGCGATGAGGGGGGACCTTCCCTGCTGGCCTGCTTGTGGCCGTTCTCAAGTCCCCCGACGAGTGTCCCTTGAAGGAGATCTCGGGGAGCCCTTGCTGCAGCACCCAGTGAATTACTGTCTTTTCACCTCGCCTGACTTGAGGCCTGGTCCACACCTGCCCTTCCCCCAGCACCCCCTGGACAGCACACAGAGCTCTGGAAAACTGTCTGCCAAGCGGGGCTTTGCTGGAGCACCACTTCTGGGGGGAGTTCCCCAAGCCACCTGCCCTGCTGGGGGCCCCACGTGGCCTCCCCTGCTGCGTGAACCGGATCAGGCCTGGAGGGGAAGGGAGACGTCTGGGGTTGAGTGTTGGAGGCTGAGCCTGTCTCCCTGGGCTCCTGGAGGCTACAGTGCAGCCCCGTCTGACGGGCACCACGGGGACACGGTTTTTCTGAGTGTTTCAGTGACCACGGTGGCTATTTGGATTTAGTACCTTTCCATGTTTTACAATTCTGTCATCCTGCCCCTGTGGGGTCTCTCTGGGACACAGACTGCCCCAGCTTCATCCCACATATCTCCTCTTTTAAGTCCTCAGCCAATCAAAAATGGTAGAAAAGGTCTGGTCATCCAAGTTGCTAATAAAATCCACCACCAACCCCACACGAGAGGTTTCCATCTTTACGGCCACGATCCCTGCGGGAGGGGCGGGAAGGAGCACCCCGAGAACGTGTGCTTGGAACGCGGGTCTCCGCCCTTGACGCCCCTCCTGTCCGCCGTCTCCTGGCAGCCGAGTGGGTACGGCCCCGGGGGGCTGACCCCCGTGAATCGTCGCCTTTCTTCTGACGAGCAGCCCGTTCAATGTTTCTCCTTTGTTCTTCCTTCCAAAGCAAGAGTCAATGCAAGTAACACTTTTAACCAGCGAGCAAACGTGCATCTATCTGCACATCTAACATGCAATGAGATAAGCCCTGTTTTTTGCAGTACTGTGTGGGTACCTTTACTTTGATTTAGCCAGGTCACCTGGGGAATACGGTTGCTTGCACGCTGGGAGAGGTTTGCACTGCTGTAGATAAACTCGGCATATATACATACGTACCTATATATGTGTGTGTATTTAAAAATAGCATGGGTTCCCTTGGACACGTGTTCCCAGGCTGTTTCCCTCCCCTGGAACACAGGCCCGGCGGCCCCGGGACGTGAACTCTGCCTCCACATCACACACCATGGCCCTGCTTTGTCTGTTTCTGTAGTTACCTTCTTAGATTCGTACTTGCAGACTTGAACTTTGTTTTCTGAAATTAGATCCCCTTTATGACAATGTGAAATAGATAAATAAAGCATCGCTATTTTCAGATTTCATTTGTCTCTCGTTCTTGCTTGCAACACCCCCGGCCCTCAGACCTGCTGGGAGAACGGGGCCCGGGGCCGGCAGGGCACCTGGGGGTGTTCTCCTTTTCGCCCGGCCCTGGCTCCCACTGCCGCAGATTCTTCGGTGGGTGCTCTACCGGATTCCAGTGACGTTGGGAAGGACAATAGGAGTGACGGTTGTGATAGGCCACCCTCCGTTGCTATGTGGTAGGTAACACAGGCCAGGTGCTTTCTCATACATTATCTAATTTAACCACCATCCTCGGGGCCAGAGAGCCACCACCAGCCCCGCTTCTCAGATGAGGAAACTGAGGCTCAGAGACACTAACAATGTGCCTGAGGCAAGTGGTGGAGGCAGCGTTCAGAAGGTGAGAGTGCAGCTGGGGAGCCAGGGCTCCGGACCCCTTCATCACACTCCTTGTCTTGGGAAGAGACATTGAGAGCAAAGGGGAGTCTATCTTACCACAGGAGTGGCCTGGAGGAATGTGTCCCCCATGACCAGGGGAAACTCCTCCCAGACCTGTGGTTAATGGGTAAGATGATGGACAAATGTCCCCAGTTGTCAGCTTTGGGGTCTTTATGTTCTAAGGGCCCCAGATGAGTCAGCACTGGGTCTGGTGTCCCTCTGGGACCGTTGCCTGGGTGTGGCCGCAATGGGGGACGGCGCCTCGGGGGTGCGGAGGAAGGTGTGCATGTGGGGGACTGTCACCTGGGTGAGGCCGCAGTGGGGGACGGCGCCTCGGGGGTGCGGAGGAAGGCGTGCATGTGGGGGACTGTCCCCTGGGTGTGGCCGCAATGGGGGACGGCGCCTCGGGGGTGCGGAGGAAGGCGTGCATGTGGGGGACTGTCGCCTGGGTGTGGCCGCAATGGGGGACGGCGCCTCGGGGGTGTGGAGGAAGGCGTGCATGTGGGGGACTGTCCCCTGGGTGTGGCCGCAATGGGGGACGGCGCCTCGGGGGTGCGGAGGAAGGTGTGTATGTAGGGGACTGTCCCCTGGGTGTGGCCACAATGGGGGACGGCGCCTCGGGGGTGCAGAGGAGGGCGTGCATGTGGGGGACTGTCTCCTGGGTGTGGCCGCAATGGGGGACGGAGACTCGGGGGGTGCGGAGGAAGGCGTGCATGTGGGGGACTGTCCCCTGGGTGTGGCCGCAATGGGGGACGGCGCCTCGGGGGTACGGAGAAAGGCGTGCATGTGGGGGACTGTCGCCTGGGTGTGGCCGCAGTGGGGGGCGGCGCCTCGGGGGGGGCGGAGGAAGGCGTGCATGCAAGTGCTCTGGCCCTTCGTCCCGCCCTCGTCTGCCTGTCCCAGGTGCTGCTCTGTGCTTCTAACCCATCCGCCGCCTTCCCCATAAAAGTCCCCATTCCTTCCCCACTTCTTCCAAAACGACCTTTATTTGAGTGTTTAAATTACAAATATTCTATGCACTTGTTTCAACAAATAATACCAAAGTGAATCATGTCATCCCCAACCCATCCAAGCACACCCCCTGAAGGTCGACACCAGATACCAGTTCACTCACCCGTCCTGTCCTCACCGGACAGAGAGGGACACCGCCCACACCCCTGCTTTCCTCCCTGTGCCCGATCGCAGAAGCAGCAGTGCACCCCACTCTCCATGTAACCGCCGCATGGCACACCTTCGTGGAATGTTCCGGAATCTGTGCAGCCATCTCCCTCCTGATAGATGCTGTGCTATTTCTCCAACAACAACCATGCTTCAGTAAATTTGAAAATGGTGAACACCCTCGTATTGATACCCTCACAACCTACCACTGAGGCCACAAGAACTTTCTGGACACAAGCACA